TGTATGAAAAATTTAAAACCATTTAATGACATGCAAGAAAAGTCAGAAAGATTGCCTTCACACCAATGATAAAGAAAACGTGATCAATATTTATTATTCACAGTTAAGATGCATGGAACATATATTTTTCATCCCCATACTGATATTTTCTCAATATGCATGTATTTTTTTTTTAAAGATTCCTTTTTTATTCTTCCAACTTGTTTTAGTGTTTAGGTTTAACATGCTCACAAGCAGAGATGCACCTACTTGGTGGTTTGAATAGCATCATTTTCAGTTCGACTGTAAACTCAAAAATCCGATCTTTTTACGACGCTCCTTACATGGCACCCACTCGTTTGTGCGCACAACACTCTTCGGTGTGGAAGTTGTTACTGAAGGAAGCGCTGATGTGCAAGAAGCCAGTTTGTACCCACCTCCAGGTAGCAAATTGATGCAAAGCAAACTTCAGTAGCAAGGTTTGCTTTGCTCAATTCTTTCAAGCGTTTAATTTTTGTTTCTTCTGAAACATTAGAAAATGTTGGCCGCCATCTCAGAAAAACACACAGAGCATGCGGTTCACATTAACTATGCTAACCATGCTAGTCATCGATTTAAGATGCTAAAGACGCCATTGTAGTTTTATTTTAAATGAGCCAAATCTTGCTTTGCCGCACCATTTCCACTCCCTGATGCAAATGATCTGGGAAAAATTTAAAGAGCAACATAAATCGGTTTCACAGAACCCTGAGTTTAGCAATCCGCCACAAATCTTTGACTGGTGCATCTCTAACCACGGCAATAAAGTCAAGTAGTACCAAAGAACTTGATAAGCTGGTGTTCACTGCAAGACTTTCCTGATAACGGCTCATGTTTGACTGATAACGGCAAAGAGAAAACATGTAAACATGCTCTTGCTGCTGCACATTTTTCTGCATAGTAGTGATTTGTTATTGTGACTGCAGTTGTCCTGTCCTCATGCCACCCTCTTCAGGATGTAGAGGATACCAATGTTGTCGATGGTGACGTATGTGGAGAAGTCAGGCGACACGTGGATCTTCTTGAGGGCGCTTCCTGTCGGGTAGAACGTCTGCAGGGATTCACCTCTCGCCACGTTCCACCACTGGATGCAACACAGAGAAGAGAAAATAAGCTCATTTTTAATATTTCTAAACTTTCACGGTGAAGTAGATAAAAGTGATTCCATTTTTCTGCTTTTTAGATATGGAAAAAACTTGAATAAAACACTTTTCAACACAACAGGTGACTTTGAGGCATTTCTTCCTCTATTTAATGTAGCCAACAACGACGAATCTGTTCCAACACATTTAATAATTGAAGAAAACTCCACATGAGAGCTTTAGGAGGTCTGCAAAACGGACCAGGATGGATTTCTAGCACAAACGAACATGGAAAAGCTCACATTCCCTCCCCCGGCTTCCCTCACCGATTCGGTTTAATCTGTGTTTAAAGCCGACATTTTCCAGAGCAGCTCAGTCTCGCCGGGAAAAATCAAAGGCACATCAAGTCAATCATTGATGGCTTGGGATGAGGGCGTTTGCAGACGCTCGTCTTTGACAATATTTAGCAGGATAATGTCACATCAAAGCTGGGGACTGCAACCTCTTCCAGCTACATTTAAAAAAACAAAAACATGAGTCACATCAGTGGGTTGAAGCTTTTACTGGAGCGTTCTGGTTGTAAAAGCCTGTGTGATGCCGTCTGTGTGAATCTATTTAACATGGGAGGCGAGCTCCTCCATTTCCACATGCAGGAAAACAGCAACAACAGAGGAGAGGAAACGAATGCGGCTCCATCCATCGTCCAATCGAGTCTGACTGTCTTCAGTCTCACTTCACAGAGCAGCTGCGGTAGATCTATTAAATGTACCTTGATTAAATTACACAGGGAGCTCCGTTTACTGCTGCTACGGTTGTAAATTGAAGATATCACATTAAAGAGACTGAACACAAATGCATAACACATTTTTTATGCTTTCTAGTAAAAAAAAGAAGTAAAAACAAATTTTTGTTGGTCTATTATTTGGATTTCCAAATAAAATCCTATAAAGTTTGTGTTTTACTGTGACAAAATGAGAAATAAAAATCACGTTTTACTCCATTCAACTTAATTGCTATAAAATATTAAGCTAATTTCATATAATTTAATGTCTACCCAAATGTCTGTGAGTGAACGTTATTATTGCAACTTTTGTAAGCTTTATTTTTACTCAACACCCTGGAAATTTTATTCTAGAAAAACAAATATAAACTTTGCTCATTAAAAAAAAAAAAAAAAAAAAACATGCATCATATAGGAGATTAAAACTCCAAATGCATTTGTGAAATACATCATATCCAACGAGAGGGAGCAAAGGATAACTGGTGGTATTTCACACCCACTCCATGATGTTTACCTACCATGATGAAACTGTCAGATGTTTAGTTGAACATCAAAGCTACGCTCAAGGCTTAAAGAGAGTCTTCATGACATCTAGTTAAAGTAATTTCAGATTTCTGCGTGGATCATAAATATAGATACACACACTAAGGATGCTACCTCACATCCGTTTAGACTCTCTGATGAGAAATAATTACCAAAACCAGCAACTGCAAGCATGCAGCAGCAGTGCATTTCTTCAAGCCAAAGTCAGCCATATTTATGTAAATAAATAGAACCATGCACCTAAATTATGCTTTTAAATAAAGGTTCAAATGTGTGCATTTTGCATTTTCTGTTCTCTGGGAGAAGAATT